CCCCCCCCCTTACAGGTTCGTAGCTATCATTAAATTGAACATCTATTAGATATAAATATTTGCTTAAATTTACATCCAAGATATTATCTGGTATTTGTTGAAATTTGTAGCAATTGGCTACTTCATATTTTCACTGATTTCATAAAAACCCAAGATGTGTTAATGATGGTATTCGCGGTGTTGTTAAAGCAATTATATTTATTTAGTACTAGGCCTACATTCCATTCAGTTTCACATGGAATGCATTATAAAGATTTTGTTCTACAACAGACTACCAATGTAATCCGAGGAATGAAACCATATAATCATAAAAACATTTGTTCATTTATACCTTATTTTCTGATGAAGAATAGCAGTTTTGATTATTGTTTTTGTTGTGACTTTTTTACTATACAAAATTATTTACATATTATAATATGTATTATATATTATTAGTGGCAACAAGTGCTCTTGGTACGGGTGTAGATTTGGTAAATGTTTACAATGTGACATTATACGGTGCACCAAAGAGCTTAATAGATCTCATACAGGAGTTAGGCCGTGTTGGACGTGATGGTAAGGATTCTGTGGGCCTTTTATAATTCCTACCACTTGCAAGATGTCAACACCGAGGTGAAGGACATATTCAAAACCCAAGAGTGCCGTCGAGTTGTAATGCTGACACCTTTTCTGACAGAGTTGAAGCTAACAGAAATCAGAAAGCAAAAGGGACTTCATTCTTGTTGTGATTTGTGTGCAGTTAGTTGTTCATGTGGTGCATGCACATCTTCCTTCATTGAGAAACTTATTTATTTCATCAGTGCTGATGATGCTGATGACAAGTCTTCAGATGAAGACACAGAATCATATACATATGATCCATTTGACTACGAAGATGATTTAGATCTGTCTTTAGTCCCTGATCTGAATTTAAATGTGGAGTGACTATTGCATGAAATTATGTATGTACTTGTATGTATAAATATTTGTACATGTGTATGTGTTTTATTTTGGTGTTATGAACTCTGATACACATACATGTGTCAAACTAAAAACCTGTGGTACACATGTGTCAAACTAAAAAAAACCAGGGTATTCATATGAGAAGATATTCTTTATTCATCTTGCATTTGCAGCAACACATCTTATTAACAAATATGATAGATTATATGTAAAATTCTTCAATTTTAACCCTTTTTGTTTTTCTTGACTTGTTAAACTTGTTCGACCACATACAGTTTAATTTTATCAAACAAGTTTTAGTTTACAGGCAAGTATTCTTAAAAAGAGGACATGAAATAAAAGTTCAAAATACTGTCTGAAGAAAACTGACATGTTAGTTGATTTATAGGTGTCTACTTATACTAGACTAATTATAACTTCGTGGTTTTATTGTCTGACAACTGGTACACGTGAATGGAACATTATGTGATTCAGTTAAATTTCTTGTTTATAATGTTATATTGAATAAACAATAGAAATTAGTGTTTCAAAAAGCTGAGGATGATATTACTTCAGTCATATATATATATGAATTATGATACTGGCCAAGCCAACTAAAAATAATGAACTATTCTCACACATATCAGTATCCTTCATCTAAAAACTTGTTTTGATCTTATTAAGATAATGTGATTGATCACTTAAATATCCTCGAGATAATCTGTAACATGCATGATCTATCAATATAATGGAAGCTAGTTGCACTTTAATTTAGTCTTTAATTTTGACAGAACAAATGCCAAAAATACAACATTCTTAAACACGATAGAGTCTCCTATAAGAGTGGGATTGCCTTTAGTCTCTCTTGGACAAAAGTCTGAAATATTAATTATGTCAACACAGCACGAATGTTGCAACATCTTGGAATTGCTGTTCATTCAGAGGAGTCTAACAATTATGTCAAAATATACACTGCAATGAATGCGGTAACATCTTTGAATTACTGTACATTCAGGAGAGTCCAATGCAATAGCCTATTTGATCTTCAGTAGTGGAACTGCATGTGTGAAATGGTACTGCTCATATTCGTTTGTTACGCAGTCTGTGGTAGGCAACTATTGGCTTGTGTCTATGAATGAGTGTTCCAAGACCTCGAAAGCTACTGTCATAAAATCTTTCATCTGCTGAAAGTGCTTTACACTGAAACTTTCTTCCATGTTCACAAGAAAATGCACCAGTGTCTGCTAATTCCACAGCAACTTCCCTGACATCTTCACTGTAAGAGGGAAGGTGATGAAACCCTTTATGTTTTTACACAGCACAGAAATCATCATAATGCTGAACATGGAATGTGCCAGAATACTTTCGTTCGTCTGAAAACCTGAACACATGTCTTTGCTTTTCTGTTTAACAACTCAACATACTCGTCCACTGCTATGTTGTTGTTCTTCCCTCCTTGCAAGTTAATGAATCTGTTTGCTGTTAGTCTGTCTTTTTGGTCTT